ATAGTATTAATTATAATCACAATGATAGCTAGTGTTTATAGAACACTTAACACTTGTCAGGAAGAGTTCTAAACACTTCACATATACTGAACCTTTTGATCCTCTGTGTCGTGAGGTGGACACTGTTGAGATCCTCGTGTTGCAGAAGGAAGTTCATCACTTGCCCAAATTTGCCCAGAAGCTGGGAGGTGAGACTGGGCGCTTTGGGTCTAGAGTCTTAGCTCTTGGCTGCTATGCTAGATTGACCAGAATGAGGAGAAATAATAGCATAACTGTTTGAATGCCGTCTATTGGAAACCATTCTCAAACTCAGCTGAGACCCAGGGGACATAAAATGCTGCCCTGGTATGACCACAGAGACCAGGTGAGGGGATGACCAGGCCCAGTGTGACCTAGCCCACGTGGCTGGCTTGGCACTGAGATACTACCATCATCAATTGATAGTCTCTTTCATACACTCGAATAAGCATTGAGATGGACTTGGCAGAGGATCTGTTTGTGAGTCTAGTTCTATCGAGCAAAATCAGATTTATCATATTTCCTTGACTGTCCCAGAGGTTGATCTGACCTAGGATGTTTCCCACCCACTTCCTTCAGCCATTCTGATGCCTGCAGGGTGAGGCTCGAGGGCTGAGGCCAGCGCTGAGATTGTGTAGGTGATCTCCATGACAGCCATGGTTTAGACATTGATGGCATTACACACCTGCAAATGCACTAGCACATAGTTTTTCCCATGGAAATAATCACACTTCTGTGAACATGGTTTCCCTAAGGAAAGACCCTGCCCTTTTGGAAGAGTTGTCTCAAGCCACATCCCAGGAAGTTAAGGATCTGTTTGGATTTATAGACACTGCCTTGCAGCCTGCACACCCTCTGGGCATCTGCACAGCATCCATGAGGTTCCCCAAGGCTAGGAGGGTTCACTAGGAGAAACTTCAAGCTAGGGTGGCTGTAGGAAGGAAACTACATTGTAAACATGGGAATGGGAGAACTTCTTGCAGTGGCTGTTGTTTTAACATGTTCTTTTGTTAGTGTAGCTCATTTTCATTCACTGTTATTTTTCACTTCTCTCTGTCCATTGTCAGCAGGGTTGCAGTTAGGGGTCCTTTCTATGAACTGCCTCTGAGTAGCACTGGCGTCCGCCAAGCTGTCTGTTGTGATTCCAAGTACACATGATCACTGATGGGAAGCCAAGGACTTAGGAACTGCTGGCCAGGAAAAACAGTTACAAAATATGCTAAGCAATGTCATTCCATTTCTCTTGTACAGATCTCTGAAGGTACAAGTGACTCTGCCTTTCTCGGAATGTCTTATGATGCCAACAATAGGAATGTGGGATTATTGCTTTGTTAAGCATTCCTCCTGTTTTTGCTGGGACTCTCAATTTAGCTATTTTATTCAATCCAATAATCGGCCAATTCAGCTACTGACCAACCTAAGCCTCCACAGTACTTTCCAAAGAAGTCACTCCATACACAAATGAGATAATGTACAAGGTCATTGCCAGTTCAACTGTGAGAAAACTAGAATTGACTGTTTTAATTTTGTCTTGTTTTTGATAATAACTCATATTTGTATACACACCCTACAATTTGCAGAGTACTTTAAAATGGATTATTTCATTCGGTTCTCTCAAAAACTATGACGTATATTCAAGATATTGCTAATAATGATTTTCTCTAGGGAGTATGGGGGCCATGGGGAGCTATTATACTTATCTAAATCATGTTATTTTTCCAAGGCACATGCAATCTATTTGTATTTAAGAAAGAAAAACAGACTTAGAAATCCACACAGAGAAAAAAATGATAAAGAAAATGGGGCATATGGAATTCTTTGTACTATTCTTGAAACTTTCCTGAAAGTTTGAAATTATATCAGAATAAAAAGTTACAATAAAGGCATAACAGTGTTAAAGGGATGTAATTCTTGGGCAATACTTAAAATGGGTAATTCCAATACATTTCTTTGGAATTTCCCTAGGAATCCCAACAACACTTAGATTGAGATCATTGCATATAATCAGAGATTTAAAATACGGTAAACTGTAGGCTGAGGGAGAAGTTATCGTACAGTTGAAGCACAACATGAATGTGTATTCAGTTCATAGCTTTTCCTGCAATATAAAACTAAGCAAATTCTTTGGATTTTATTTGTATGCAGGTGTGCAATTATAGGGTGACTCACCGCTTTTTTCTGAACATAGTATATTCCATATGTTAGAAGGTGATAATTACGTTGTTAGATACTCATTCTATTTTTTACATACCATAAAATGCATCTGTTTTAAGTGTATAATTCTACTACTTTTACTAAATTTATAGAGTTGTTCAACCATCACCACAATCCAGTTTTAAAATGTTTCCATCACCCCAGAGAGATCCCTTGGGCCCATTTGCAGTAAATCCCTTTTCCCTTCCCGATTTAGGCAAATGGACTCTCTGTCTTTATAGATTTGCCTGTTCCGGACATTTTATATAAGTGGAATCTTGCAGTATGTGGTCTTTCTTGTCTGGCTTTTTTTTTTTTTTTTTTTCTTAGTAGAATGTTTTTGAGGTCCATCATGCCTGTTTTCTCTGGAACTTTTTCCTTGGCATAAGATGTTACTCAGAGAATAAGCAAATACCTTACATTTACTCCTAGGAATGAAAAAAGCAAGCCACTAATACATAGTAACGGTTCTTTCACAACCTAATCTGCAGTGACAAGAACTCAGCCTGAGAATTTTTCTTGTCCAGAAGATATGCTCTTCTAAAACAAAACAAAACAAAACAAAACAAAACAAAACAAAACAAAACAAACTGTCAATTGACTGTCTACAGTACCTGACAGAGTTTGGGAAATTGTCATTGCCCTAATTTCCTAGTAGCACAACAAAGACCTAGAGAGAAACAATGACAGAGACTCGTGTAATGCACAAGAGGGTGCACAACCTACAGGGAATCGCATGTTTTCTGGAATTTACATTTTTTAGACTTAGAATTATAAGCTTTCTCTCAAATGTGAGAGTTTGTGTGCACAAACACACCAGCATTTTTATTCTGACAAGCAGTAGAATGGTAGGATTGATGCCTCTGCAATAAGAAAATTGCAATATCTGGGACCTGATCTAGGTACCTAAAGGTCTCTAAATACTTTTATTCCAAGAAAAGCAGAGTGCCCCCAAAGAGACATATGTTTTGTGATAATGTCCTCTCATACCAAATGTGAGATGTAAGGAAATGGTAGGACGCAACTTGGTTTTAAGAGAATATCGATCTCAGGAAATATTATATTTAATATAAATGTGCTATATAAAAATATATTAAGATTTTGTTAAGTTTGTAGCAATTTAAGTACGTTTAGCAGAAAATGGAAAAAAAAATCACATTAGGATAAAAAGCCTAATGGGTAAATTTTTCTTATCAGTTTAGATAGTTTAAAAGTAGATTTGTAATGCACACTCTTTTCCTTAAAAATTACAAGAGAAAACATCTTTCTATTGATGTATGTATAACTTTTACTCTTTAGGAACTCCTTGTTAGGCTGCGGGCAGAGGTAGAACAAAACTCTCCTGCAAGCATTTGTGCAACAGCCCCTGCGGAACTGAAGGCGAGGTTGACGTAATTGTTCTCTTGAAGGGACACTGTAGTGCCATCTCCTTGCTCTAGTTTTATCTTACTTTTGGGAATTCTCTTTCAATGTCAAGTGTCTCTGAGTTAGTAATAAATATCTTGTCTTCTGTGAAAATGATGAAGTTTTCACATCATGACCTCGCTCCTTTGCAGAGTCTGCTTTGTGGCTGTTCTTTGTCTGCTCTGTTTGTGTCACTATCTCTAACTGGGCTGCTCAGGCTGGCACGGTGACACCCACTCATCAATTTGCAGCCAGGCCTATGATGCTAACATCGTGTGTCACATGCATTAGTTGTGTTGGTGTGATTTTCAAAATGAGCTACTTCCAAAAAAGCTCCTGTACAGGCAGTTCTGTTGTCTGCATGTTCCAGGTTTTCAGGTATCTGAATAAAAGCTGTTTACCACATCTTGTTTTCAATTATTTATTTTCCTGGGACACCCTAATTTAGGATAGAGAAAGTTTGAGTAAAAAATATTCTACAGTATTTTCCTTAGTATTTAAGGAGTTGTATGATTTTTAGAGATGGAAATACATTAGTCAGCATCTTATAAGATTAGGTGTCTGGGCTAAAGATCAGAAGCCGTAATAGATAAATATCTGAAGTTGTAAGTCAATGAAAATGATAAAGACATTTGTGTTCAGCCCGACTCCAACCCCAACCACTGGGACCTGGTCCTCTTCAATGGCTCCTCGTGTTATAAAACCCATCCAGATGGTGCTGACAAGTAGACTCCGCAGTGCCAGTGACAGTCTTCTGCTCCACCCCATGACTGGTGGACCCCAGAGGCTGGCAGACACCACATGGAATTGTTCTGTCATCACCATGAAAACTTGACTTCCCTTCCTAAAGAAATAGTTCAGCAAAATAATGCAGGCATGCGCGAAGCTGGAGTTCATTGCTGCAGGGGAATGAGTGAGGTAAAGGGTTTTAGGGAAAAGCAGACTATTCAGTTCCTGAAAGGGATCACTGGGAGGGAGCAATAATGTTATAAAAGGTCTAAAATCAACACTAGACATTTGACACTTTAGAACTTCTAGCATTGAATCTAGACTCCCCTGTACAGATGGGATATCAGAGTGTGGGGTAGTCTCATTCCCTTCTGAGCCCCGCCATCAACTTGGAATTCAGCTCTAGAGGAGTGTGGTGTAGCTCCTGGCCCCAATCTTGCAGTGGAGTATAGGATCATTTTCCCATCAGAAATTTTGTCATTTTTAATTTGAATGTCCCTGACTTATTTCTCTCTTCCCTGTCCATATTTAATGTTGTCTTTGTGCCAGTCATGTGACTCTGCAAGTCATACTTGCAAATTGTAGAGAATGATGTAGATATGATGTCATCATCATCACTATCATCACCTTCATCATCATCATTGTTGTTACTTCAGGGTGACAAGAAACAGAGCATGAACAGCAATCACTCAGGGCTTTGGAAGACAAACTGGCAGCGTGTGAGTACACAGATGACATCCAAGAGCACATGTTTCGACATGTGCTTCCATGCACACATTCCCCTGTCGCCTGTTCTCTCCCGGGGAAACACTGGGAGACAGTCAAACTATCAGCACAAACACGGCACTTCTATTCTGCATCCACTTCAAACAGGATCAAGATTTCCGTGGCAATGCAGCTGTCACCTAGCTGAAACACAATTGGTCACCCTGGAGGTTCAGTGATGAGCTAATTTCCTGATGTTTCTCTGAAGTCAATAAAATTGAAACTCATCTGGAATTCGAGGATTGATAGTATTTATTATGACTCAGTGTGTGTAGCAGAGAGAGACAGATTAGGACAATTCACTTTGGAAACCTTGCAAGGGAGAGTGTGGGAGATCAGATGGACAATGGTTTGGAGTAGGAGTAGATGGGGCTTCAGTATTGACTCCAAATGGTTAGAAATTGAGAGCTATTTAAAATTTTTAGTTGGGTGGCCATATAAAATGTACGCGTTAAAAGGATTATTCTGAAAAGAGCATGTGGAATGGTTCTGAGAGAGAGGGATTGGAGGACACCAATGACAATGCAGTTTCGATGGTCCTGGTGAGGGTCTCAGCGTCCAACGGGGGTGGAGGAAGCAGCTATGGAGAGGAGCAGCCTTGGTAACCAGCTGGCACCTGGGGAAGGACAGAGAGGTGTGTGCATTATAAATTTCTGTGGATTTTATTTAACAGAAATAAGAAAGCCAGAAGGTTCTATGATGATGAGCTTTGTCTTGTTCATCTTGATTTTTTGGTGTTGAAAGGAAACCCATGTAAAAATATTCAGTGGGCATTTGGAAATTATCTTTGGAGACAGGAAACATGTCAGGCCAAGAGATGGGTGAGGGAGAAGTCTGTCTCGAGATGACAGCTCAAGACCTGAGGATGCAGGGGCTTGCCAAGGAGGAGGGCACAGAGCCAAAAGGAGGAGAGAAATTGGTCTTGCCACCTGCCTCATTTCGCGGACAGAGGATGGAGCCAAGTCAGCACAGGTGACAGACGAAAAGGAAAGGTCATTAAATAGAAGAGAGAATAGGTGGAAGAGTGTGCCCATTCCCTGGGCCTTTGTAAATAATTCTATCTTGAATTTCTTCTAAACTTTAGACTGTCCCCTCATGTTCTCATCTATTAGAGTAATTAATGCTCAAACATTCTGTTTTATAAAATGTTTATGCATGTCATGAAATATCCCTGGAAATTTCTTTGGTTTTGTGCTGTTATTTGATAGGAGCAAGTCAAATTTAAGTTTTCCTTGAGCCATTGGTCTCTTGCGTATTCTAAAAGCTGAAACATGCCAAGACAATGCCACGTGCAAGTCCGCTCCGGGCGGGGTGCGCCCGGTCTCCATCCCTCGCCAGCGCTCACCGCCACCGCCACCCCCAGCCCCCAGGCGTGGTGTCCCCGATCCGCGTTGCAGGATGGACTCCACCGCTGGGGCTGCATCTCCTTTGACTGGGAGCCAAAGAGAACTTCCATAGATAGAAACACGCTTCTGAAAATCGTGATGTAAATAAAACCTCCGAGACACTGTGTTTACTTATTTTTCACCTTCCCCGTCTTTCCTTTTACCTCTCCTTTCTCCATCTTCTCCCTTTCTAGAAAGGAATCCAAGAATTTTTAGGAGTCCATCCTTTAATGGCAGTTATATTTTCTTTCTTTTTTGCGTTTTTTTTTTTTTTTGGAGGAAGGGGATTGATGTTTTCTTGGCTGATTTCCTTTATTTTTTTTACTTTAATAAGTACATGTAGTAGAGGAATATGTAGTAGAGGAAAAGCCATGCCTCTGTCCTCTGCTGTTTTTTTCTGGTCAGGAGCGGTTCTTTAAGGGTGGTCCCGCTGGTGTCTATGTCCTCCCACCTTTAAGCCGTGCACCTGGCGCTCCTGCTTACCACGGCGTAAACCGTGCATTCTCAGCGGGCTGTATCATCTCACAGGGGACAGAAATCAGTTCCTCAGAGGGATTTGTAAAATCTTACTCTTTTTATGCATAAAGGAATTATAAACAGTACATAAACAGGTATTTAGTCTATCTGTGGCATTATAATTTCACTGGGAGTGATTAGAAAAAATATCTAAAAATGCTTCTTAGAGGGAGATAATGAAAAAAGTTTCAGAAACACTGGTCAAAGAGAAAAATCATAATTTTTCTCCTCAAAAGCTCCTGCTTGAGTCGAACATCGTAAGTAAATCATGAGACATGACAAAGGAGAGAGAAAGGTGGGCATTTTCACCCAGCAATGCCCGTGTTCTATGCCCTTGGGTGCGCTTCATGCCACACACTCTCTACCAGTTCCATACTCCTTCCTAGTGACATTTTCCCAAAGAGCTTGGTGCTAGCGTTTAGAAACGTTAGTGGCCCAGGCTTCTAACATCTCTGTTGTTTGTGAATTGCAGGCACTTTTGTTTATTTGTGTGTATATTTACCTTTTCCAACAAACTATTGTAATACTTGCAAATACAGGACTATAGGAAGCGCTGTGGAGAACAACAGGAAGAAACGATAGATAGGGAAGACTCAGGAATTTGGAGAACTCTGTCCGATGTCCTTCACAGTCAGGAACATTTCTCTTTTTAATCATGTCTGAGTTGCTAACAGTATTTGCTGCTTCACTCTTTCATGGTGCCCTTCTGTTAACCTCTGCCTTTCTGTTTGCCAGAACATACTCTTTTCTCTCTCTCTCCACTTATTTTGTAAAGAACTGACATTTGTGAAATGAGCCTTGTAAAAAGCACCATTGCAATTTCTCTGTGGGGCTCCTAATATCTTGTCACCTGTGTATTTACCATGTCTCCTGCCACACACCATTGAAATTTCCATTTGTTGGTGCATGGTCCTCGGACGGGGGCAAGCACAGCATGCTATGTAGGCATGTTGCAGGACCTGCTGTCCAGCTTAGGAGCAATCAGCAAAGTAGGAGCTGGGTCTCAGGAACAAAACAGAGAAGCCATTTCCAGATCTGGGCACCAAGGACAGAACTAGGTTAGCAGCCAGGGTAACCTGAGTCTGAGGCTCTTAAAACCGCCCCTTCCAAGAGGCAGGGACCAATCCGCTTTGGAGTCACTGACCCCACCCATCAGGAGAAGAGGGCAGAGCCGGGGATGAGGCGTGACGGGACTCACAGAGGCTCGTGTTTGGAACACAAGCCTCGTCATTCCGAGAGGGCGCGAGGTCCACCCAGGCTCAGGACAGCCAAGCGCCCTGACCAGCACTTCTGCGCACTCGCCCTTATATCAAATCATGATTTTCCAGAGTGCACGTTTTTCTTTTCAAATTCTGTGTTGGTATTCCATGACACATGCAGAAATTCTCACCAGCAAAGATCCTGAGATGTCTTAGTAAGAATCAACAAGTGAACTCAAAGCATTAAAGAAGATTACAAACCTTATAGAATGCTCTAGAAAGGAACATGAACTAATAAAAATCTGTGTGACTATGTCTAACAATTTGGGTGACGACAGCTTTCTAAGAGTGTATCAGGTGTTGCCTAAAAGCTGAGCATAAAAATCTTCAACTTGTGAGCTGGTGATCTTTGTGTACTGATTTATTCCTTTTCTTCCTCCAACTTTTACTGGCTTTTTCTTTTAATTTCCATGTATTTCTGGATTATGACACTTTAGTCATTGGAAATGGTAGAGTGACAAACAAAATAATAAAAGAATTGTTTCAGTACGCCCATTTTGTTAGACTCGGGCGTTAATAGTAAAACTATACTTTTGTACATGACGAAAGGATTCATTGGTGAAAGGATTTACAGACATATTCGCAGTTCTCCTTATTTCAAATGCCCGTATTCCTTCCTGTCTCGGAGAAACCTTGCGGGGGGTAATGTTTAGGGGCACATACACCTTTTCTCCACACCTCAGCGGGGGGAAGGTATGAGAACCACTAACTAAATGTTCAGCAGCAATTTTGTGCTTGTGATGTGGGATGGAAAGAAATAAAAATTAAACCTCTCTGCTTTCCACAAGCCTCACGCAGACTGGCTCCAAGGGAAGGGTTTTCACACAGGCCAGCGTCTGTTCTGTGGATTGACCCGCTTTCCAGCCAGCCCTGAGAGAGATTTCTGTGCCGGGTCTGGTGGCCGAGGCCGCATCTCAAGCACCAGCAAGCTGCTGCGGCGGTGGCAGGCCTGCTGTGTTTGATGAGGCCCACAGCGCGCTGGCAGATAGGCTCTGTTTTCATTTGCCAAACCTCCTGGAGGTGAAAGAAGGTTTGCTGACTGTGGTCAGGAAGGTCCCAATTATGAATGATTCCCTAACCAAGTGTCGAAACCCCACACTTTGTAATTAAAACGCTGCACACACGAACTGCCACGCCCAGGAAAACATCTTCAGGAATTTTCCTCAAAAGTTTGGTCTCTCATTTCCTTCAGGAGTCTTTCCTCTAAACCTATCCCAATTCCTTTTACTCCATCGTAAACAAAACGATCTCTTCCGATTCTCTTGATTTTTAAGCAGCACGGACCGTTTCTCAAGAAAACTGGACGTGATTTATCTTATTAGTAACCCACATTTTTAGGCACACACTTTCCTTCTCACAGACCTCAAACCTTGTCCTTGCCTGATTTTGCCACTGCTGTGACCATCAGCTGTGTGGTACCAGGAAAACAATGGAAACGGCAACTTTGGAGAAAGCAGTTTTCCCTTTCAACCTGGTAAAATCTGGCTCTGTGTATTCCAAGGCACAGTTATTGGGTGCATACAAGTTCAGAATACTTTCTTGGTGACCTGAATCTGATGTTACGTGGTGACCCTCTCTGTTCCTAATGACACTTTTTATTCAAAGGTGATGCTGTCTGATAGTAACATACCTGCAACACCTTTCTTTTAGTTGATAGGATTTACCTGGTATTTTCTTTCCATTTTTATTTTTTCAATTTTTCCATGTCTTTCTTTTCCATATAGCTAAATTGGAGGTGGGGGAGGGGAGAGGAGACTAACGTGGGTGAAGTTCATCAAAGAGAGAGAGGGGACTGAGACACATGAGAGGAAGGACAAAAAGGACTGCACTTCCAAAAGCATAGCAGTTCCCCCTGTTCTCAGGGGATACGTTCAAAGACCCCCCGTGAGCACCTGAAACCAGCACAGATGGTACTGAATCCTTTATGGGCGGTACAATGCACACATACCTATGATAAAGTTTAATTTATAAATTAGGCACAGTAAGAGATTAAAAACACCTAAAAATAGACTAAATAACAGTAGACTGTAATA